GCAGGAGCGGGGGGGGCAAGGGCATAGCAGGCTCAGAGGAAGGGGTAGGAAGGGGTGGACTGGGGTAGGGCCTGTGACAGAGCCAGGGGTTGAGCAGTGAGCACCATATATTAACTTCTGAAGAGCTGCATGTGGCTCTGGAGCCACAGTTTGGCCACTCCTGGTTTAGCATGTCACCAGGTTCTGGGCCATGGTCTGCAAAGACAGTATTTTGATGAAACTATTTACCATGTAGCACCCGGCCATCAGCAGATATTAGTATAAATCTAAGTTTCCCCAGTCTATTCAAGTATGGTACATGATGCACACAGAACGAACAGGCACTTGCTAGATGCATGACTGCACAGCTGATGCCTGTAAGTATCTCTGGGACGCTGGCAAACCAGGTGCCAGCTCATGCCAATGCCCTGGGCCTCACTGAACACTTACAAATGCATAGCTAGAAACAAGTCTTGCTTGCCTGTGCCTTAGCATTGTCAAAATAGATATTAGATGTCAAGTTGGTAAGATTGTGTTTAGCATTTTATAAAATGCCTGAAGGATACTGCATGTATTGATCTCACGTATAATCTCTATAGCCCATGGTATAAAGTTATATTGAGTGTTTGCCTTGTAAACCTCTGCAATTGTGTAACTCAACAAACAGGAGGAGCAACACTGATTAAGGTAAAGTGCTCAGCACACAACATGGTCCACTGATGGCAAATGACATGTTGTATAGCATCAAAGGACAGAAACTGCTGATTGCATTCCTAACTCCCTCAAGGAAGGAGAGACCTACACATGAACTCATCCCATCGGTTTGGACTCTGGAGTGGCTAACAATCCTTGATGAGGAGAAACAATCTCCTTCATGTTGTCTGGACACTGAGGGACAAAGATTCCTAAACGTAAGCAAAGAAATCCCCATGCTGTTTGGCATGGGTTAGCCCTAAAAGACATTTTGAATTGACAGATTACTACAACTGTGTTACCTTTTGAAACTCAGACAAACGTGTGTGTATGTGTACACACACACACACACACACACACACACACACACACACACACACACACACACACACACACACACACACACACACACACACACTACTACTCTACTACTACTACTACTCTC